ATATATATATATATATATATATATATATATATATATATATATATATATATATATATATATATATATATATATATATATATATATATATATATATATATAGTATAGTATAAAATAAATAAACGATGTTATCCATAATTCCAATTTGTTTTATGTACACCTTTTCCAGTAGTAATTGTATGTGAACTTGTCACATTACACATTTACATATTCACTGTAGCATGTGCTTGTTTGAACGCCTGTTGAAAAAAAATAAAGTATATGTCTTCAAGGCCCTAAAAACCGAATTAGAATTTCTTAAGTTTTCAACCGAATTAACAAATCTAAGCTCTAAGAACATTTTCCGGAGTATCTATTTCTGGAGGTTTTGTATTCATTTCATGATCACATTTTGGAAAAATGACACACCAGAGCACACCAATTAATCCTGACACTGTCCTTTTGTGTCCTAATTTCTCCACCCCACTATTCAATTCCTTCTCAGAAATTTTTATTTATATATTGAATCTTATTTACCCTGATCAAATCACCCCCACACAACGGTAGCTCATAACCCCCAATCATCCCACTCCAATATCTATCCACTCCCAGAAATCCAAGTGCAGCGATTGGAAACTAGTCTCGAGGCACGCTCGGCGCAGCACGAGCACGAGGTGAAAGTATTGAGAGCCGATGTGTCGGACAAAATCGTGAAAATCGAGTCATTGACTGAAGAATTGGACGCCAAAAAAGCCGAATTGGCCGATTTCTCCAGTGCGCAACAGGAGGTCGCCAGTTTGCTGGCGGAGAGGTATGATTTGTTGGTGTCTTATTTTTAGTATATTGTCGTATTTGTATGGTATGTTACAGCATTTTCATGCCATTATCGTTTTTGAATGGCTGCATTAATTTGTCTCTTTTGTCGCGTCTGTGGTTTCAATTCACGACATAAGAATATCAATGCGAAGTCGTGCCTGTGCGCTCCTTCGATTGTATATTCACGTCTTCATGGCTTTGCCGCATATTGTCTGGTTCTGCTGTTAATTCACCATTGTGTCCAATATTGTCCACATTGAGTTGTTTGAGACATCATTC